TATATATATATATTTTAAACATGTATGAAATATATTATATATATGCATGTATATGTAAATCAATAAAAATATGAATATATTATCTCATTTCAATATATTTAACGCAATGCAAAAGATTGCATTTTCTATTATATTATGCATGCTTCAAATAATAATGTCGGTAATAGCGTATCTAAAAATGTCGATATTATCGATATTATCGACATTTTTAGTTACATTTAGATGGGGGCGCTAATCCGTCGGAGTTTGCCCGTCGCTTTAGGATCCCCTTAAGTCGTTAGGCTAATTGTAAAATTGGCCGAAGACTGCCGAGCGTTGTCGATGTGTCCCGAAGCGCCGGCCGGCGGAAACCCGCGTTCGGCGCATCTCCCAAACTCTTCCCAGCGGGCCCGACCGTACCGCTTCCCGATAACTCGTTCGGAAGGGATAATACCGCCGCGCGCCGACGCGGGCAATTAGCCGTAAAAGGGACACATTCGGCAAGCTAATCACCTTTTCCTAGACCGCTCCTAAAAATCAGCCCAGATTTAAGTTACAGAAGTAGAGCGAACTCTTCCTCCATCGAGCACTCTCGATACTTAATCAGGCTCATTCTATCCGGCCACTCTTTTGATCGTACAAAAAAGAATCAGAGCGCTCCAGTTCTATCGAGTGATCTCGATAATCAGTTCAAGATCCGACCGCCTAACGCCAGGGCATATTAATCTCGAGGTAGAGAAAAGAGCTACCTCGGATGAGTTTCTCTTATCGGCACGGCGTTCCTTGAAAACTTCCTATCAAACAGGAATTATTCGGGCATTTTATATTTAACGCTGTAAATGAGTATTTTAAAGAGCTCGACAAATGGTACTATAAAGTTGTATCACTGCATTAGAGTTATGAAAAATGTATTAGTCTTTGTGCAGATTATGTTGAAAAATAAAATTTAAAAAAAATCCATAAGACTTTTTTTCTTTATCACGTCTTATTTACGTTTTTTTCTTTATCAGGTCGGAAACTTATCACCCTACCTTCATAAGTATTTCTTCACTCGCGATTTACGGAATAGTCTCGTTACTACGCGGTGCGTTGTCTGTAAACAAGAATAGAATCAACTACGAATGTTAAAAGAAATTGTGTAGTCGACCAAACTAGCCAGAAATATAATTTATTCAATACGACGTTTCGACCATATGGTTGTGGTCCTTATCAAGTATACACTGAAATAGATATATAAGTTGCAAAAAATTATTATTATTTACATCTAATTTTCGGTTTGAACCGTAATACGCACAATTAATTTAGTTTCAACGTGAGATATTTTAAATATACATACAAAATTAGCCGAAGTAGTAGTAATCAGAGTGTCGGCATAGATAATAATCTTGTGCAAGCACAAGTCACATTTGCAAAACTTTATTTTGAAATTTCAATTTTAAGAACAATGAGTCCGTGTGGGACCTCGTCAAAGACTAAACGCGATCATAAGTAAAACGGAATTACATGACCTTTATTATTTTGTCATAAATGTAGTTTAAATTTTCTGTGTCTTTTTGTAAGTTGATTAGGTTATCACATCTCTTTATGAAAAACATCTCAGCAATTTCTCTTTTACGAACATACTTTTCGTTGTGTAGGATGTTCGGTTTTAACCAATCAAAATCATAACCAGATTCTAATCTATGCTTGCTAATTACTGAATGATTAGTTTCATATAATTTTATGTTGTTACAGTGTTCTTTTATTCGCGTACGTAAATGTCTTTTTGTTTGTCCGATATATGCTAAATTGCAATCTTTGCAATTTAACTTGTATACCACGCCTGTTTTGTCATTATCGTGTAAGCGATCTTTACCTCGTGTAATTAAATTATTTAGTTTTTTGGTTATCTTATACACGACCTTAAAGCCTCTATTACGTAAGAGACGGTATAAATCTTGACTAACATTTTCAACATATGGTATTGTGATAAACCGAGTCACGTCCGAACGAGTAAGATTCACATCAGTTGTATCAGCATTATGGTCACGATTATTTAGAAAATTGAGTCTTTTTTTAATGTGTTTATATATAAAATGTGCCGGAAAGCCGTTTTTTATTAACGTGTCAGAAACTAGCTTTATGTTGTCTTGTTTAAAGCAGTCATTAGATAATAAGATCGCGTGGTCAACTAAATTGTAAATAGTATTAATCTTATACTTTAGTGGGTGGTTCGAATGATAGTTTATATACCTCCCTGACCATGTAGGTTTCCGGAACCAATTTGTGATAAGTCTATTATCGGACCGAATAATTTTTACATTCAAAAAGCTAATGGATGAGTCAACTTCAGTCTCATAAGTGAATCTTAAGCGTTCGTGGTAATTGTTAAACTTTGTCAAGATCTCGTTGATTTTTGCGCGTGGTACTGTTGCGAAAACGTCATCGACAAATCTATAATAAGTAGGAACGGTAAAACCTAATGAGTTTAGACATTGAATCTCCATATCTTCCATTACCATATCTGCTAAGATAAGTGAAAGTGGAGAGCCCATGGGGGTGCCGAAGATCTGCTCATAAAAACGTCCGTTAAATGCAAAACAAGTTGAATCCAAGATCAATTCAGTTGCAAATAAAAATTGAGAAAGATTGAATTTAGTGTTCTTGGCAATATCTTCCCAGCGTTTCCGTATGGCCTTTACTACCAAATCTTTTGGGACGTTAGTGAATAATGAAGCCACATCCAACGAAACCATAATGTTATCTTTGTCAATATCAGTGTTCTTGATAATTTCGACAAAGGACCAACCATCTTTGATATATGAATTTGGTTTTCTTATCGATTTTTGTAGGATATCGTGGATGTAACTCGAGATATTGTATAGTGGGCTTCCCAAAGCAGATACTATGATTCTCAACGGAAAACCATCTTTATGAATCTTCGGCAGCCCGTAGCATCGCGGTAAATTTCCGTTGGTGCAATTTAAGTTTTTATATGTCAACTCACCGATCAAACCGCTCCTACGCCAAGACTTGACTAACTCATTGATTTTATTTGTTAATCTTTTCAAGGGATCCTTTTTTAATTCCCTGTAAGTGGTTGTGTCACTCAACAGCAATTCCATCTTGTCGAAATAATCACTCTTGTCCATAACGACAGAGATCTGACCTTTGTCAGCTCTCGTGACCATGATGTCTTTATTTTCGCGTAAATATCTCTTGGAGACCGCGTAAGACTGCAAGATGCATCTATCTGAATAATTAGTACGTTTATTGTTGTCAAGAAATCTCTGAAGGATGTTAGAGATAGAAATTCTAGTTGTTTCGATAGTATCTGTTGGCAAGATATTACTATGCACTTCGAAATTTTTGACAACATCCAAAACAAAATTGTTACGATCATTTTTTTGTTTCCGTTCAATGGGTAACGCAAAATTGTCACCCAAGCTTAACACATCAGAAACAATGTCCGGTATGTCCTTGCTGCTGATATTCACGAACCACTTAGATTTGTCAATTTTTGAAAACGGATGCTCGTTATATTTTTGTTTCAAGTTATTAAATTTTTTAATTGAATTATTTTTTGTACTGTAATTAAATGATGTCAATCTATGTTTATTCAATTCGAAAAAAGTAGTCAATATGTCATGTGGTAGGCATTCAAAAAGTCGTTTTTCAATGTTTTTAATTTTGTCATGTAAATAATTTAAATGGATGTTAAGATCTTCAATCTCGAAACAAAAAGACACAGAAAATTTAAACAACATTTATGACAAAATAATAAAGGTCATGTAATTCCGTTTTACTTATGATCGCGTTTAGTCTTTGACGAGGTCCCACACGGACTCATTGTTCTTAAAATTGAAATTTCAAAATAAAGTTTTGCAAATGTGACTTGTGCTTGCACAAGATTATTATCTATGCCGACACTCTGATTACTACTACTGCGGCTAATTTTGTATGTATATTTAAAATATCTCACGTTGAAACTAAATTAATTGTGCGTATTACGGTTCAAACCGAAAATTAGATGTAAATAATAATAATTTTTTGCAACTTATATATCTATTTCAGTGTATACTTGATAAGGACCACAACCATATGGTCGAAACGTCGTATTGAATAAATTATATTTCTGGCTAGTTTGGTCGACTACACAATTTCTTTTAACCTTTGAAAATTCGACTAGCGATATTAAGCTTCTACAAATTTCTAAATCCGCTCCTCGACCTAATTATGGAGCAACTGATGACTTCTTTCAACACATCTCTCAACGGTTTGATAACAATTGCACAACACTGTTGAAAACATGGATAAATTGCAAAAAGAAGATCTGCACCGCGAAACAACAATTGACTTTTCTAATTCGGTGCAGAGGACACGATTTAATTCCTACGCACATTAAAAAATTGAAAATTAGTATTGCGTTCCACAGCAATAGCATTAAGCGCAAGTTTAACCTTTTTATAAAAACAAATCAACACATGTTGTTAAATTTCGAGATTGAAGATCTTAACATCCATTTAAATTATTTACATGACAAAATTAAAAACATTGAAAAACGACTTTTTGAATGCCTACCACATGACATATTGACTACTTTTTTCGAATTGAATAAACATAGATTGACATCATTTAATTACAGTACAAAAAATAATTCAATTAAAAAATTTAACAACTTGAAACAAAAATATAACGAGCATCCGTTTTCAAAAATTGACAAATCTAAGTGGTTCGTGAATATCAGCAGCAAGGACATACCGGACATTGTTTCTAATGTGTTAAGCTTGGGTGACAATTTTGAGTTACCCATTGAACAGAAACAAAAAAATGATCGTAACAATTTTGTTTTGGATGTTGTCAAAAATTTCGAAGTGCATAGTAATATCTTGCCAACAGATACTATCGAAACAACTAGAATTTCTATCTCTAACATCCTTCAGAGATTTCTTGACAACAATAAACGTACTAATTATTCAGATAGATGCATCTTGCAGTCTTACGCGGTCTCCAAGAGATATTTACGCGAAAATAAAGACATCATGGTCACGAGAGCTGACAAAGGTCAGATCTCTGTCGTTATGGACAAGAGTGATTATTTCGACAAGATGGAATTGCTGTTGAGTGACACAACCACTTACAGGGAATTAAAAAAGGATCCCTTGAAAAGATTAACAAATAAAATCAATGAGTTAGTCAAGTCTTGGCGTAGGAGCGGTTTGATCGGTGAGTTGACATATAAAAACTTAAATTGCACCAACGGAAATTTACCGCGATGCTACGGGCTGCCGAAGATTCATAAAGATGGTTTTCCGTTGAGAATCATAGTATCTGCTTTGGGAAGCCCATTATACAATATCTCGAGTTACATCCACGATATCCTACAAAAATCGATAAGAAAACCAAATTCATATATCAAAGATGGTTGGTCCTTTGTCGAAATTATCAAGAACACTGATATTGACAAAGATAACATTATGGTTTCGTTGGATGTGGCTTCATTATTCACTAACGTCCCAAAAGATTTGGTAGTAAAGGCCATACGGAAACGCTGGGAAGATATTGCCAAGAACACTAAATTCAATCTTTCTCAATTTTTATTTGCAACTGAATTGATCTTGGATTCAACTTGTTTTGCATTTAACGGACGTTTTTATGAGCAGATCTTCGGCACCCCCATGGGCTCTCCACTTTCACCTATCTTAGCAGATATGGTAATGGAAGATATGGAGATTCAATGTCTAAACTCATTAGGTTTTACCGTTCCTACTTATTATAGATTTGTCGATGACGTTTTCGCAACAGTACCACGCGCAAAAATCAACGAGATCTTGACAAAGTTTAACAATTACCACGAACGCTTAAGATTCACTTATGAGACTGAAGTTGACTCATCCATTAGCTTTTTGAATGTAAAAATTATTCGGTCCGATAATAGACTTATCACAAATTGGTTCCGGAAACCTACATGGTCAGGGAGGTATATAAACTATCATTCGAACCACCCACTAAAGTATAAGATTAATACTATTTACAATTTAGTTGACCACGCGATCTTATTATCTAATGACTGCTTTAAACAAGACAACATAAAGCTAGTTTCTGACACGTTAATAAAAAACGGCTTTCCGGAACATTTTATATATAAACACATTAAAAAAAGACTCAATTTTCTAAATAATCGTGACCATAATGCTACAACTGATGTGAATCTTACTCGTTCGGACGTGACTCGGTTTATCACAATACCATATGTTGAAAATGTTAGTCAAGATTTATACCGTCTCTTACGTAATAGAGGCTTTAAGGTCGTGTATAAGATAACCAAAAAACTAAATAATTTAATTACACGAGGTAAAGATCGCTTACACGATAATGACAAAACAGGCGTGGTATACAAGTTAAATTGCAAAGATTGCAATTTAGCATATATCGGACAAACAAAAAGACATTTACGTACGCGAATAAAAGAACACTGTAACAACATAAAATTACATGAAACTAATCATTCAGTAATTAGCAAGCATAGATTAGAATCTGGTTATGATTTTGATTGGTTAAAACCGAACATCCTACACAACGAAAAGTATGTTCGTAAAAGAGAAATTGCTGAAATGTTTTTCATAAAGAGATGTGATAACCTAATCAACTTACAAAAAGACACAGAAAATTTAAACAACATTTATGACAAAATAATAAAGGTCATGTAATTCCGTTTTACTTATGATCGCGTTTAGTCTTTGACGAGGTCCCACACGGACTCATTGTTCTTAAAATTGAAATTTCAAAATAAAGTTTTGCAAATGTGACTTGTGCTTGCACAAGATTATTATCTATGCCGACACTCTGATTACTACTACTGCGGCTAATTTTGTATGTATATTTAAAATATCTCACGTTGAAACTAAATTAATTGTGCGTATTACGGTTCAAACCGAAAATTAGATGTAAATAATAATAATTTTTTGCAACTTATATATCTATTTCAGTGTATACTTGATAAGGACCACAACCATATGGTCGAAACGTCGTATTGAATAAATTATATTTCTGGCTAGTTTGGTCGACTACACAATTTCTTTTAACCTTTGAAAATTCGACTAGCGATATTAAGCTTCTACAAATTTCAGAATCAACTACGATATAAAACTGAAATAAATGACGTCAAACTTTATCGTCACTCACACTTTTTGAATAGATTTTTCCAACATGAGGCATTGAGATTCGATAGCGAACAGAACAATTAACTTTTGAGCATAATGCTGTAACATATGATTTTCCGTGATCGGATATCATTTAATTTACGGATAGTAAATTAAATCTGCCGCCGGATCCAAGTACGAGAATAACGAGATGTGTGAGTACATGTAAAACAAATATATTTATTTAGCTGTATATGTGTGGTGTACAAGTGTAGTTGTGTGTATGTGTGAGTGTGTAATATTATAATGTGCGTGTGTGTGTTTAAAATTACAATGTATGTGTGTGAGAATACAACTCAATATATGTGTGCGCTTGTATGTACGGTAACGCCATGTGCGAATGTATGTACGTGCGTTAAAGTGCGATAGTTCGATAGCTTGGTTTACACGGGCCGCAAATTCGCTATGAGTTAGCGCGAAACATTGCTGTTTATGTCGGCGCAGATGTTCGTCTATTATTCAATTCGCGGATGCAAAACGGTCGCAGACGTGTCTCAGCTCAAGATCGGTATATGTTTTTGAGATATAATAATTGTACACGTGATAATTACGATCCGCGCGGGACGCGCTTGCGCGGTTCCCGGAATCGGCGCGTTATCGGGTTTTTATCGCGCGCGTTTTTGCTCGGGTTTTTGCCTATTTACGGCCAGCTGATCGGGTTTTAATGCCCGGCGTATTGATATTTAAATCTCCGTTAATTTTCCCCGATGAATTAAGGGTTCGGATAGGCGTCGCGACGCTAGCAAGCATCGGAGGCGACTCAAGTTCCACCCCGGGATAGGTGCGATACCTGAAATCTGGATCTGGATTCGGAGGCGATTTCGAAGGTTCCGATATCAATCGGCAGAGGCAGGTAGAGCGTTCGCACTACCTTCTAGCCTTTTTACTCTCGCAAGGATTTTCCTCTTGTTCGCTTCGCTTGCCTTCAGACTAACTCAGCTGCTGGAGAGGATCGGAAGGATCTGTCCCGATATGTCGCCAAGAGCCCGTTTTATACCCGGTTAATTATCCCGCGCTGGCGTATTCGGTAATTACTCCCACCGAGTGGCGGTAAAAATATCGGAGCGATTCGGGTTCGCCCGGGGGAGTTCGGGATGCCGCGCGCGAGTTCTCAATCGGCTCCCGGCGGCAGTGTCGCGATTACGATTATCGCTCTCCTACCCGGTAGTTTTCTAAGAGATTAAAAATGTGGGCGCACAGCCCTCTGCCGTTGTTCGATCGGTGTCGTCGGGCGGCAGCTTCCGGCCGATGTTCGCCGGGAAATGATGCATTTCGGGATGCATCGTTACAATACAACCTTGATATCTGTTATTCAGCAGAGACCTATGTTATAATAAATATGTTTCACAGCCTATGTTATAATAAATACTTTTCTTACAGGAGAATGTTTATTCAGCAATACCTACTTCGATGCAAGTGTTAAATGTAGAATAGGAAAATGTGCTGGATAAAAAACGCTATACTATAAATATAAAATATAGATAATATAGATAATATAGATAAATGAGAGGAAATCTAGGAAAATGTGCTGGATAAAAAACGCTATACTATAAATATAAAATATAGATAATATAGATAATATAGATAAATGAGAGGAAACCTAGGAAACATGTCCTCTACTCGTGCGTTTAGAATCGTTATCTCTTCTTGCAGTTTCTCTTCTAAATCGAATTTCATTTGTTCGTACATCACTGAATTACGTTCAATGATTGGTCTAATACGTTTTAACCATTGAACAGTTGTGCTATTCAATTCAATATGATGCTTGCTTAGAGTAGTCATCTCGATCAGTGAACTCATCATATGAAGCGAAAGGGCTATTTTATCCTGTAATTCTATCATAAGCGTTGATGTCGCTTTTAACATGTATTGACCTATATCAGAAAATATTATTATTATTATTATTATTATTATTATTACTATTATTATTACTATTATTACTATTATTATTATTATTATTATTACTATTATTATTATTATTATTACTATTATTATTACTATTATTACTATTATTATTACTATTATTACTATTGTTATTATTATTACTATTATTACTATTGTTACGCGCGCGCCCGAGTCGTCACGGCCCTGCCGTTGTCTGGATCCCGTCGGCAAGAAGATTATTTACAAACAACAACTGTCAGCTGAGTTCGGTTCCAGCTGTCTGGCTGCGCGGACGCGAATTTGCATCGAGCCGCTAATTTTGTGTTGAATCGTTTTGTGTTATCGTTTGTGTTGCCCTGTGTTGGGAATTAAAGCTCTTAGTTACTTTTAGAAGAGTTTATTTATTTCGCGCGACTCGCGAGCGGCCGATCTTTTCATGCGCGGCTTCGATATTTATCGAAGTCTTCGCCGCGGGCGCAACATTTTGGGGGCTCGTCCGGGATCGGACGGACGAAACGGAAAATTGTGAGAAAGTGACCGCGAGAAGTGACCGTGAAAGAGTGATGGCGACAATAGCCGCGAAGAGGAGAAGGAGGGAGCAGTCGGAGCCGCCCTCGGAGGGGCGGGCGACGGAACCGCGGGCGCCGGAGGCAGCGGCAACGGAGGCAGCGGCGACGAAGACGGCGGGGACGGAATCTTCCGCTCTGCTCACCGTCCTGCAGGAGATGCGGCGGATGCGCGAGGAACAAGCGCGACGCGAGGAGGAGGTCGCCGCGATGCTGCGTCGTCACGACGAGGAGATCCAGCTTCTACGCGGGAGCCGGCTACAGCCTCCTCAGCTAAGTCCTTCCGAATTTAGATCGGGGTCTCGGGAAAGTCGCGACGCGGAGACACGAAACGAGACCGGATATAAGTTGAAGCCGGATACGTTCGATGGGACAGTTTCGTTGCGGGAATTTTTCTCGCAGTTCTTCCTCATAGCGCGCGCGAACCGTTGGGACGACGCGACGAGTACTGTAGTGTTAGCGTCGTGTTTGAGGGGGAAGGTCCGCTCTGTTTTGGAGTCGATCGAGGATTTAGAAACCTGTACGTTTGAAGAACTAAAATCCAAGCTCGAATTGCGTTTCGACGAGGGGCAATCTCAGAATTGCTATACGCAATTCACGAACCGAAAACAGAAATTCGGGGAGGATTTTGCAATTTTCGGTTCAGAGTTAGAGAGGCTCGCCCGTTTGGCCTACCCCGAATGTCCTTACGCGGTGCGGGATAAGATTGCTTGCGCACAATTTGTTTCGTCGCTTCTCGACGGATTCGTGAGGAGGACTCTCCAGCTAGAAGGCATAACTTCCCTGAAACTGGTCGTAGAAAGGGCGAAGGCCATAAAAATAATTCAGGGAGAGAATTTCGAGAGGAAAAGGGATTTCGAAAAGGGCGCTTCGAGAAAGGGAAGGGGGACGCGCGAACTTTTGAGAAGAAAAGTGAAGAAAACGGAAAGAAAAAGAGGAACGAGAGGGGGAACTGGAAAAAGCCTAACACGAAGGAATGTTGGCTTTGCGGGAAGACTGGACATTTCCGTGCAGAATGTCCGGAAAATGTGGGAAACACGGTTTAGTTGCTCTCGGCGGGGGGAGAATAACTGGGTGGAGCGAAACCCCGCTGTACATAAATCGTATAGGGTTAAATTCGGATTGTTTTAATTATAAAGGAAAATTAAATGATAACGAGTGTAATTTTAAGATAGATACGGGCTCCGATATTTCCATTCTTAATAAGAGGTTAGTTAGGAAAGGTAAGCAGAGATTTCCTGTTAAAAAGGGCACAATTAATTATCCTTCTGGGGAGGAGGTTCCCATCGATTTTAAAGTAAGAGCGACAGTGGCTCTGGGAAAATTCTCCAAAGAAATTTCTCTGTATGTGCTGGAGATGAAAGAGGACTGCTTACTAGGCGTAGATTTTCTGAAGGAGGCTGGTTTGGAAAATGTTTTTGGGGAAGCCTTCGATTTTTCGGAGTTCGTGGAAAAGCAGAACCTAAATTGCTCACGGATCCTAAACGTTTCCGAAAAAGTCCCTTCCATTTTAAAGGAACTTTACGTAAAGGATTCTGCGGACTTGGAAGAGTCTCAGAAAGACGTTTTCGCGAGACTTTTATTCGAATATGAAGACATATTTTCCGAAAAGATTGTTGCAGGAAATTGCGATTTTGTCTCATGTTATTAACCTAAAAGATTCTTCTCCCATAAAGCAGGTTCCTCGTCGTATTCCCATACAGATGCGGGGTGAAGTCGATAAAATAATTGAGGAAATGAAGGATCAGGGAGTCATTGAGGAGTCACAAAGCCCCTGGACTTCTCCCGTTGTTTTGGTCAAAAAGAAAGATGGAACGATAAGATTTTGTGTAGATTTTCAGAAGTTAAACGAAGTAACGAAAAAAGACTCCTATCCCTTGCCTAAAATAGACGAAGTGCTTGACCAACTTTCAGGTAATTCTTGGTTTTTCATTTTAGATCTTAAGAGCGGCTATTGGCAACTAAAAATTCATCCCGCGGACAGGGAAAAGACTGCTTTTTCTATCGGGCGCGGATTGTGGCAATTCACCGTAATGCCTTTCGGACTGTGCAACGCCCCCGCTACTTTCGAACATTTAATGGAAAAAGTTTTGCAAGGGTTACTGTTTAAAATTTGTCTGGTCTATTTGGATGACGTAATTATTTTCGGAAAGGACTTTCTTGAGATGACGGAAAATCTTAGACAAGTTTTTGCTCGGTTACGTTCCGTCAATTTGAAAGTAAACCCGAAGAAGTGTATTCTTTTCGCGAAGAAAGTAAAATACTTAGGGCACGTAGTTTCTTCGGGGGGCGTTACCACAGATCCCGAAAAGATTTCCGCCGTGAGGGACTGGCCAATTCCACACACTAAAAAACAACTCCGAAGCTTTTTGGGGTTCTGCTCTTATTATCGAAAATTTGTCAAAGGATTTTCTTCCTTGGCTAAACCTTTGTATACGCTGACGGAGAATCAGGCTAAGTTTTCTTGGGATGAGCAGTGTCAGAATGTTTTTTTGGAATTAAAACGAAACTTATCTTCCTCCCCTACATTAGCTTTTCCAAAGGGAGAGGGAGAATTTATTTTGGATACCGATGCTTCAAATATTGGAATTGGTGCAGTCCTATCACAGAATCAGGAAGAGAAGGAAAGAATAATCGCGTATTTTATAACTTTATACTTAATCGCGTAAGCCGCGTATTAAGTAAGACCGAAAGGAACTATTGTGTTACGCGCCGAGAACTTTTGGCGACAGTTGATTCTATTAAATTTTTCCGACATTACCTTCTAGGACGAAAATTTTTGATCCGAACAGATCACGTTTCTTTGAAATGGCTTCTGTCCTTCAGGGATTTAGAAGGGCAGTTAGCACGTTGGCTGGAGAGACTCCAGCAATACGAATTCGAAATTATTTATCGGAAGGGCGGGATCCATAAAAACGCCGATGGACTTTCCAGACGGCATTGTGAATCTTCTGGCTGTGTGTACTGTTCCAAGGTCGAAAAGAAGAATTCGAGGGAGCTTCAAACATCCGTCGCTCGGATCCTTCTTACAGGAAACACTCTGCAGGATTGGGAAAGAGAGCAATCCGAAGACCCGAGCCTCTCTCTGATTTACCATGGGAAGAAAACAGGCATACGCCCACTCCGTTCGGAGATACCCGATGGAGATATTTCCGCCCGAGTTTATTGGTCCTATTGGGACGCAATAAGTTTAGAGAATGGAGTTCTCTATAAGAAATGGGAAGCGCCAAATCTCAGATCAAGCATCTTTCAGCTTATTGTTCCTCGTAAGCAGATTGATCGAATTTTAGAAGCGGCGCACGATTCTTCTTCTGGAGGACACTTCGGGGTCAATAAGAATTTGGATAAGATTCGCAAGCGGTTTTATTGGGCCACCTGTAAGCAGGATGTACAGGAATGGTGTAAAACCTGCAAAGTATGTGTGTCCAAGAAGGGCCCCTTAGGAAAAGGAAAGTCCCCGTTACAAATATATAACGTGGGAACCCCATTTGAGAGACTTCAGATGGATGTGCTAGGTCCTCTTCCTACTACCACCCGAGGAAACAGATATCTTCTTGTCATCGTAGACTGTTTCACCAAATGGGTGGAGGCTTTCCCTCTGAAGAATATCAAGGCGCGGACAATGGCGGAAGTCTTCGTCAACCAGATAGTTTCCAGACATGGGATCCCTCGGGAAGTCCATACGGCTCAAGGAAAGAACTTCGAATCTAAGTTGTTCGCAGAGTTGATGACTCTTCTTGGAATCAAAAGACGAGGACGACTGCTTTACATCCTCAATCAGATGGACAGGTCGAGCGTCAACATTTAACCATCATTAATTATTTGTCCAAATTTATTTCAGAAAATCAAAGAGACTGGGATAGTTGGATTCCCATGTTTTTATTAGCATATAGATCTTCTAAACATGAAACCACTGGTTTTACTCCTGCCGAGCTGTATTTGGGTCACGATCTTAGATTGCCCTTGGATCTAC